GAGCATATCACCCCCCGGCCAAGAGTGGCGGTCGCCCAACCAACATGCCGACCGTTTGCGCAGACTGAAAATGTCCGCAATGGCCAACTGGCACACAACTCAGAAATTATTGATTTTTGTACATGTTCAAAATTTCAGTGTTTGCAAAGTTAAGGCCCTGAAGAAGAGTTGCCGAAAAGCATGTTTTGCCTGACAAATTGACTTTTAAAGTTAACAATGGGAATATTTACCGAACCCATATGAAAAGCTTTAGCAGTGTCTGTACCCAGAGCACGGGGTGAAATAAGTAACGTAGGGAAATAGTGGGGCAAATTCAAGTTGGATTTTCGATTATTTCAATCACGTCGGGGTCACCCTTTTGCAGGGCCTCAGCAGTGCCTGTACCCAGAGCACTGTAATAAAATCCCAAGTTATGCGAGAAGCCAGTAGGCACCTGTGCTTTGGGAGGGCTCCCAATTCTTGTCCAGCCGGCAGTGGCCCCTGGCGAACCCAGGGCTAGGGTTAACTGCTAGTCGTCATGCCCGAGAAAGAGTCAGACAGCGGTGGCCGTGGAGCAAGTGGTGTCCAAATGGTGTGTCGCATTACCCGAGAGCGTGTGTGACACGCAGCCAACTATGTTCTCCGACTTCCATGTTCAAAGCCTCAAGATCATGCAACTTCACAGGAGCGCTTCCCGACTTGCTGAGCTGAAGACCCTTGACCGACTTCCTCACGCCCACATACGAATGCCAAAGGGCCAATTGAACACAACGCCCGCCGGCCGATGCAGCATGGGCCACTATACGCGACACGCACCACTTGAATTAGGTCCACAGTCACATAACAACAGCGGTCATCTCGCGTACACTTTCTCTCTTAGCAGTAGCTCTAGCTTCGTCAATGGCCACTGCTGCCTGAGACAGTAAATCGGGGTCCTTTGTACAATAAAACCCGCATACTGGTGCCTTCGGCCATCTGCCCGCGGCCTTGGATTCGATATGGTGTCTGTAGTGTCCGGAGCACTGCTTAGACGCTACACAGTCTCTGAAGGCGCCTGAGTGCTCTGATTGTCCGGAGTAAAGTTTACCATCATTATTTCCGACTGCTGGCGCTCTTTCTTCTGCACGGCCTGAAATAACGATTACAACGGCTAGCAACAAGGGCTAGTACTGGGGTACATTACAAGGCGAAATTGCC